TTATTGTGTCCCTTGCTATGCCATGGAGCAAAGCTGCCCACTGTTCCCTTCTAGGGGTAGCCTCTATCCAGCATGCTCTTAGCCCTGCAGGCAGAGAGAACAGCAGAGGCACAGAATCTGGGGCAGGAGTCGTTATGTTTGCAAAACTGGAAGCAGTCTGTGTGTCTGGAACCCAGAATGTAAGGGACAATGCCTGGTTCATGGAGGTGATGAAGCTGAGAAGCCATAGGAAGGACTTTTATCTTTGTCCCAAGAGCAATGGGTGGGAGATGTCATCGTCAGGGTGTAGGCAGGGAGCAATGGTTGGTTCTGCTGTGGAAAGGTCTCTCTGGAAGCAGGGAGACCCAGGAAGGGGCAGTTACAGTTATTCGGGTGGGAGAGGCTCTCAGAGCGCCTAGTCCAGGAACTGCTCTGACCCACAGCCACCCCACCCAGGACTTTGTGGGGTATTATTGGAGGATCCCAAGGATCCCCAGCCCAGCTGAAGGCAAACTTGAGGCACCCATGCTCACAGGAACTGGGACACTATGCTTGTGCCCCCAGATGCTAGCCCAGAATGTTGGGTTTATCTGATGAACAAATGGGTGGTGGATGGATGGACAGTGGGTGATTGGGTGGATGGATGGCATCTACAATCCGCTGCAGGCTGTGCCAGCCCTGGAGGACTCTCTGCTTCTGAGTCACAGAAGGCCCTCCAGGCCTGCAGGGCCCAACAGGAGCTCCTGAACAGGGACCAGACTTTCCTCATGACCCTTTTGGCCTCTGAAATGCACTCAGCCCTTCCCAGCTTCTCAGAGAATCTTTGCTCCAGAGTCAATTTTTTATTTATTTTTTTCATCATACATTTGAATTGCCAAACTGTGACGCCAAGCAGCCCTGTCCTTAAGCAGCATTGCTGGGGAGTCCTTCCTTTGAGCTGCCTCAGGTCGCGGCTGGTATTCCCCGGAGGAGGGCCCGAGAGAGGCACTCACAGGTGGGCAGAGGTCTGCTTTACACCGTGTCCTCTATTGTCACAGCCCTCCCTAGGCCTGGCTCTATGCCCCTGCTCCAGATGCCAGGCCAGCTGGGCCAGCCACTCAGAACAGGTCAGAGACAATGTAGTCGCTGTGGACCCCATCAATCACCCCTTGGCCGTTGTTGTGGACAAACCAGCAGCCCACCTGTGTGCCATTATGGACATCCTTCCTTTAGTCTTTCTGGTAGCCCTTGGAGAAGGGAGAGACATGCTGTGATACGCTCATGGACCAAGGTTGAAAAAGGGTGTGACGTTGCCAATTCCATAATTCTCTGGCCAAGAATGAGGTTGCATGGTTACTCCTTCTAGGGGGCTGAGTTTGGCCTTTCCCTGATTTGGAGGGGCCTCGAGGGGCCCAAGACCCCAGAGGGAAATGAGGGAACCCTACAGAAGACAAAGCCTGCTGGACCAATGTGTGTGGGCACAGAGGGCTCTTTCCCCCTGGCTTGTTAGTGGGCAGGGTGAGGATGTCAGATGGGTCCCCGCACCTGGTGACTGCCAGCCGATGTTTCTTCACCAGCATTATGGCATGTATCTTGGAGGGGTCATTGCCTGGGTTGAGGTCAGACACTTGAAAGGCAAGGGGGCGGAAGAATTGTCCTGGGAAGAAAAACATTTACTCTGTCAGCCCCTGCCATTGCCCCAGGGAGCATGGCCACTGGCCTTCCAGGGTTAAGGCAAAGGCTGAGGGGGTGCTGTGTGCCGCGCATGGAGAGGCTAGGATGGCCTTTCACATGGCTTTTCCCTCTGCCCTGAACAGCCTGAAGCTTGAACATTCCATACCCAGCAGCCCGTGTGACTTTGTTGACATCTTGTCACTGTCCAGCACGTAGAAGCCCAGAAAGTGAAGGTGGATGTGATGTTTCTTCCACACCTGGTGCAGAACCACCTTAAAGGTAATCCCTTCTCCAAAGGAGACCACCATAGCCTCCCTGTTGATCTTCACAGAGAACCTAGGGGAGCAGAGGAGGACAGCCAGGGGCACAGTGGCCATGACACCAGGCATCTGAATCAAGGACATCTTGGCAGAGCCCTCCCTGTGCATGGCACCTGAGAACACACAACTCCAGAAACTATGTCAGGGGTGTGGAGAAAGACATGTCATGTGTGCCGACTGTGCCTCCCCTGAATGCATTCTTGCTCCTCCTTAAGCAGGAAAGGGGCTGTCCTCGGCATCCGGAGGCCTGGGATCCAGTCCCAGCTCAGCCATTAGATTCCTGGGCAGGTTCTACCCTGTTTCTGAGCCTCAGTGGAGTAACACTCCTGCCCTGCCTCCCAGGGTCTGGGTAATCTAAAGACATAGGAGAGGCTGAGCGGCTTGGGAACTAATGAATTCAGCCAGAGAAGATGCAAATAGGATTCTTGCTGTTACCAGATTGCCATGCCTACCTGATCCTTGGGTCCATGTAGCCCTTCCCTCAAGGTCAGCCCTATGAACTGTCCAGCTACCAATTCTGGTTCTCACAGGGGCCCTAGGGGTTGGCTCAGGTCTACCATGGTCACCCTCCCCCGGGGCAGGGGCTGAACTCTGAGGCCACCAGTCTTCCCTGTAACCCCGTATGGATCTTCTGTCCTCAGATTTCTACAAATCCTTCAAGCCTCCTTCTATCGAGTCCCGGTATGGGGCCTTACCCTTCTGAGGTGACCGTGACTGTGTCCAGCCAGCTGAAAGTACTCTGTGCAGCCCCATTCTGCAGGGTAATCTTCTCTGTGGTCACCTCAATCCGCAAGTCCATCGGAGAATTGACAATGCCCATTTTGCCAAAGTAAGTCTTTCTGTTCTTAGAGTTAGAGCTGTTTCCCTTGTCACCAATGATCTGCCCATTTACTATTAAGCCTCCCAGGGGCAAGGGGCAGTAAGAGATCAGCGAGATCTTCTGATCAGCTTGCCGTTAAGGATGTGCCTTCTCCCTTAGCCAGAATTGCTCTGAGGTATCAGAGTGAGGGTCCCCACAAGAGACCAGAACCTCACAGTTAACCCAGTCTGCTCCTAGACCAGGGGTGGGCAAACTTTTTGACTCGAGGGCCACAATGGGTTCTTAAACTGGACTCAGAAGAAGGAGCTGCGGCCGTGTTTCCCGACGTTGCCATGTTAACACTGCTGCTGGTGAAGGAGCGGAGGGGAGAGCAAGAGAACCCTCCGCTCTTTCGGCTCCGCTGGCCGGATAGAACAGCCAAACGGGCCAGATCCGGGCCCGCGGGCCATAGTTTGCCCACGCTGTCTTAGACACTCTGAGTCATGCTGGTGGCTGAGGGCCACAGTGTAGACCTGTCTCATTGCCTGGGCCAGGAAGTATCATAGTTCAGAGAAAAATGATTCCCCAGCTATAGGCTGAGTCCTGCCTGCAGGGCCAGGCTGCCCTTAACTCTAACCATCTCCCAACACACTGGCCCCTGGGGAACTTGGATAGCTTGTGGTTCTGGACAGCCATCTCCAGCGTGTGAAGATGGGAGCATTGTGGGCAGAGTGAGGACCTGGTCCATGTGCCCACCCTGGGGGTCTCCAGGGCTTCCCAGGAAGACCCTTGGCCCCAGCCCCGCCCTGCAGCCCCCACCTGTAATGGGGTCCTGAATGAGGCGCAGCACTGTGCCTGGTTCTTCATCAATGTTGAAGCAGATGGCATCCTTTTTCCCTCGGACTTGGATGATGAAGTGGGGGTCTCCGTCCACTGAGGGCACATCAGAGAAAGGGCTGATCCTGGAGCCTCACCCACTGGCCTCTGTGGGATGGAATCCTAGGCATGCAGGAGGCACTGGGGCCTGTGCCCTGAGCCTTGCCCCCGGAGGACCCAGGGAACTCACCATAATAGTAGGGTGAAGAAGGAGGCTGGTAGCTGGCTGTGGACAGAAAGGGAGAGAGGCCTGAACTAAACAAGCAGGCCTGGGGAGGCACCTGACCCCACACAGAGTTTGGGTCATACACCTGCCCTTCCTGCTTCCTAATGCTCTCAACACCCACCCACCTCCATCTCCTCAGGACCCATCCATCTGCCTGCCCCAGGAAGCTGATTTAGGAAGACTCCGGGGCATGCGCAGGGCTGTGCTGGGGCAGGGGACTGTGGTCGTGGTGTTTACTCACTCTGGTAAGCCGTGGCGGCAGTCACTGAAAAAAGAAGCCAAAGGGCAGTCATGAGCTGTGGGCCTTGGGTGTCCTGTTCCCAACACCTGTGCCTTTTGCCTGTCTGGGGGCTACCAGTGCACAGTGAAACCCCAGCACTGACAGACAGCTATCCTTGGTAGTAACACACACACACACACACACACACACACACACACACACCATATGCACATACACACCAGTGATGTGCAGTACTGTTCTAAGGGGAAAGCTGGATGGAGGAGAGGCAGGCAGGGGTTGGGGGTAGCTCTGCCTGGTGGAAATGGGCTTGTGAGGGGTGAGGCTCCAATTTTATGATGAGAGAGACACAGGATGGTGTGGATTCCAGCTGAGGCACTGCAACCAGGGTGCCTGGGCCAAAGCCCTGGCTCAGCCACCTGTGGACGGAGTCCTTGCCCACACAGACCTAACCTCTGTGCCTCAGTTTCCTCACAGTAAAATGATAGCCTTACTCAGAGGTTGCCCTGGACTCATCAAGTGTGATGCCTGATGTGGGACCTGCTCCTTTTGCAGGCCACATAATACTCTCCTACTGACTGTCCCTCCTTGGACAGAGGAAGCCACCTCCAATCAATGGACAAGAGCCCTGGCGCTCAGAGCGGGGCAGAGCCAGGGCCAAAGTTGCTCATGAGTGGGCAGCAGAGCTGGGACCTGAGCCCAGGCGAGCTCAGAAAGGCCTCCTGGGTTCTCTCTTGTCTCCCTCCCGGGACCCCACCCAGCTGCTGGCTGAAGCTCACCTGCTTCCTCAGGCCCTGTGAGGGAAGAAGGGGAGAAATGTGTTAGAAGCCACAGACTCCTGGGTTCTGGGCCAAAGTGATCAATATGCTGCCTGTCCATCCAGCCCCAGGCTGTGGGCCTCCCAGCAGCCAGCTGTGCTCCCAGAACCAAGAACTCCTGGCCTGGCCTGGACCAGCACTTTGCCTCCCATCACCCCGATGCGCCCCCTCTCCCCCCCGC